ACAAAAAAGATGAAACAAAAAGGGATAAACTGGTTTTTAAAAGAAAAGACCTAAAACTGGTTCAACAACCGAACCAGTTGAAGAAATCCTAAAGCCACCTAGTTCAAATCAAACTGGTTCAAAGACAATATGGGGTCAAACCAAACCCGATTCAGACTGAATTAGTTCATTGAACCAAACTGGTTAGACCCTAATGGACCGAACCAAATCACTCAATCTCTCTGTCACTCATATTACCTTGTTCTCACTCAGTCTCTCACTGATGAAAATGAAATGGAAGGATGACCAGAAGAAGAAGAAGTGGAAGAAGAAGTGGAAGAAGGAAAAATGGAAGAAGAAGTGGAAGAAAGAAAAACGGAAGAAGAAATGAAAGAAGAAAAAAAGATCGAAAAGATCTTTTCAGTAGCACAATAATAAATATGTACACATATATACATAACATATATATAATTATAATAAATGGTAATAATATCCTTTGACACCAATTATTGGAAGCTGAATCTCAACCTTGTGGATAAGGTTGATGTCTAAGTAGAGGAAATTGTTGAGATATCATAAAATCATGAACAGTTACAATGATTTATAAATATTCTCATGCACTTGAATAATTGTAATGGTTGATAAGTGTTCTCATGTACCATTTCATATCTATAAATAATAGTTGTAAATCAAAACCCAAGATATGTAATTTCTATCTTTCTATTATATCTTCTCTCCTTATATTTCTCTTTTTGTCTCTCTAAGAACCCATCTCTCTCTCTTTAAAACATTTTTTCTTTCATATATTTGTATTCTCTCTCATTTTCTCTCTCTAAAGATTCTTCCTCTCTCTCTCAAATTCTCTTATTTTCTCTCCCTAACACCGTCTCTTATCTCTTTTAAGCAATTTTCTTTTCTTTTCTAATTTCTTTTTCTGCTCCTAATCTTTTAAACTTTTTATAATTATCCAAAAACCATCCATACTTTAAGATTTTTTCTAAATTAAGGTTTCGGTAAATTACATATCAAAGCTGGGTCTTGACACCATCTTATTTGTATGACTACTATCTGTATGGTCTTTAATTCCCCAGTCAATTCTAATATGTCCACTCCTCATTGCATTTCAAGGTTTTTACTTTATGACAACATTGATAAAAATTATAAATTTTTTATCCTTGTTGTATCACAAGTAATTGAACCCAAAATATATAGCTAAGCTATTAATTTCCAATGCTCGAAAGAGGCAATGCAAGCTAAAATAAAAGCACTAGAGATAATCAAACATGGGATTTAGTTCCACTGTCTTCCAATAAAAAACTCATTGGATGTAAGTGAGTTTACAAAATAAGAAGAATGACAAATGACTTTGTTGAAAGATGTAAAGTCAGGTTAGTAGCCAAGGGTTATACTCAACAATCTAGTGCGAATAATCTTGATACTTTTTCACATGTTGCGAAGTTAACCATAATCAGAACTTTGTTTGTTGTTGTTGTTGCTAAGGACTTATTACTTCTTCAACTTAACATAAATAATGCATTTCTATATGGTAATTTGTATGAAAAAGTGTATATGACTTCACCTAGTTTTTTAGACTAATAAAAAAAATTAGATATGTAAATTGAAGAAAAATTTGTATGGCTTCAAGTAGACCACTAGGTAATGGAATCTGAAGTTCACTGAGGCATTAAAAGATCAAGGTTTTATGCAAACACACTCTGATTCTTCTTTATTTATCAAACATTCTAATTAAGATTTTATTGCTCCTGTTGTTTATATGCATAATGTCATTTTCGCCAGCATTAATATTTCTTAAATTGAATTAATTAAAAAGTATGTTCATGATACGTTTTGAATTAAGGATCTTGCTGAGCTCAAGTTTTTTTTAGGGCTTGAAATTGCCCGTTCTTTTGAATGTATCAATGTTTGCCAAAGAAAATATATACTAGATTTGTTGCATGATATAGGTTTCTTAGGATGCACACCTATATCAAAACCTACGGTTTCATCCACTAAATTGATTCGAGCATATGGTTCTTTTAGTGTGGATGCACCTTTGTATAAATAATTGGTTAGTAATTGCTTATCTTACCAACACAAGACCTGATATTAGTTTTTCAAAGTTCAACAAACTACCTTAATTCCTTGATGCCCCTACTTAGACTCATTTCCAAGCAACTCATAGAATCATAAGATATTTAAAAGGGACTCCAGATCAAGACTTATTCTATCCTGCCAAAAGTTCTTTGCAGTTAAAGACATTTAGTGACTTAGATTAGGCTTCATGTCCTAACTCCTGCAAGTCTATTACTGGTTTCTGGATCTTTCTTGATAAAGCACTTCTCTCTTAGAAGACAAAAAACCAAGAAACTGTATCTTAGTTTTATTCTGAAGCTGAATATCATGTTCTCGCATATGTTGCTTGTGAGTTGCAATGGCTATAGGATCTCCTTATTGCTTATAAGTTCATCCACTTCCCACGATTCTGTTGCATTGTGACAATTTATCTATAATAAAGATTGTTGAGAATCCTGTATTCCATAGATATATAAAGCATATTAAAATCGATTGTCATATGATCAGATAAAAGATTTTTGTGAAGGACTTCTTCGGCTACTACATGTCTCTTTTTCTCATCAATTGACCCAGTGTTTTGCCAAGCTCCTTACCACTTTACAATTTCAGAATGTCAAAATCAAGCTAAGTATTCAAAAATATGTATACTCCAAATTGAAGGTGAGCTATTAGAGTTTTATGTAATTATTTATAAATAACATGCAAAAATATAATTACTTACAAATATAGGGTCAATTTTATAATTAGCTATAAGTTAAACCCTATGTATAAATACATCTTTAACCTCAATTAACAATTTTTTATCACTTTTTTTACAAATGTTACAAACTCTGAGTTCTCTTTTTTTTTTCTCATTTTTGGCTTCCCAAATACGTTTTTTCTTCCCCACCAATTTCATCAAATCTTTCTCATTTGGTATTAGACTTCTATTAAATGCTTCAGATATTACAAAATCTGATAATTTTTAGAAATACATGAATTCAGTTAGACAAGAAAATATTATAAATGCTTAAATAGAAAAAAAGAAATAATATAAGAGTATATTATATAGTTTTCTATGACAATTGTTTATTTCTTAAATATTGATCAATATTATACAATGCGATTAATATTTTTTTATGCAAGTAACAAATAACTGCCAATAAATGAAAATTATCAATAATGCAAGACATGATACACATAGTAAGTCTATATATGAGGAAAATAATATCCATTTATATAAATATTTGTATTCTCCCCTTAACATCTATTTTGCATGATTTTGAAAAAGCAGATTGAACAAAATCCAATCACGAATAAGATATGAATCACAAGGTAATTAAAAGACTAAATCTTCTTAAGAATTTTCATAGAATCATATCTAGAAATTAGATAAGTTTTGAAAATCTTATTAGATATTTTATCTTGAAAAAGAAAAACAATCTGAAATGCAAGATCAGCAAGAGCCACGTGTGGTAAGCACAGCCCACCAGAGATCGCAAGCCGTTGGTTTCGGGGTCTGGTCTTCTCTCTTTCTCCAGGGGCGAGTCCAAAGAAAGGCGGTTTCCTCTTTTTAAGGTTTCAACGAAACGGGCGTATATAAATATCTACTATACATTTTCATATAGCTTCATTACATTTACATGCCTTGACAGTCAAAACATTGTCAAGCTGATGGCAATGGCTTCTTTTTTCGGGAACCTCAGTTCCAGACATTGGCTTCTCTGATGCTCTTCCTTGTTTTTGAAAAAGCTTCTCGTTCAAAGGTATTGCCTTTTTTTTTGTTCTTTTTGGTTTTTTTGCCTCTCCTTTTTCATTTTGTTGTTTGTATCAAAATTGAGTTGTTGTTTTTTTTTTTTTATTTTCCCTGCAAACGGCTTTCTGCTTGATTGGATTTTAAATGTGGTGCGTGATGGGTTTGTTTTTGTTCAGGTTATGAAATATGGTTGAGGGAGCAGGACTTGGGTGTCTATCAAAATGGGGTTTTGATCAGGGGATAGAAAATGGGTTCGTTTTGGTTTTCTTCATGAATAATAGAATTAATGAGAAAAAAACGTTTGAATATGGTGTTTTGACAGTTTTTGATTGGTTCGAAGATGCGTTTTTTTGTGATAGAAGATAAAATGATAGGAGGGTATCTTTCCTTCTGCAAATGGCAGATGTTCCATTATATAAAAAGGAGAAGAAACTATAAGCAAATGATATCCTTAATGCCTAGATTGATTCCCTTGTTACCTCCTCAGCAATTTGAAAGTTTTCATAACTCTGTTCTGCATACTATTTGAAGTTTCAGGGTGATGATCAAAGATAATTTTCTGGTTTTACAGATTCAAATCCCTTGAATAAAAGGGTTGATTTTGCTTTTCGCCAGGGAATACTTTAGTATTTTAAAGGCGAATTCTTCGCCTTCTAAATGTCCATTTCTTTCCTGCATGATCCAATAATTTAAATATGAAGATGACTGCAAAATAAAACCAAGGAGATTTTGATTTCTATTACTCCTAAGGCTTGGCTTTTTCCATAAGTTTTTCTGGTCCTCGAAACCAATAAATCAAGATAACTGGTGGGGAGGAACTAATCATTGCCTATCATGATTCTCAAGTTCTCTAGGTTCCTGCTTCAAATATAATCTCTAGAGTAACATACTTAATTTGATTGTTTAATGACTTTAAGTTTTTTCATTATCTGGGAAGTTCAAATAACCACTAGCTTAGTGACAGCTAATATAGCCTGGATCATTGAGCCTGTAAAAGAGTTGTGCATGACCAGAAGGAGAACTATTTCACAACATCCATATGAGATTCTTCTCATATTTTCCCAATGAATTGAAGTTAGTGAATCAAGTTTCTT